CTCCATTTGCACCCTTGGATCGTTCAACAACTTTGAGCATAAGCTCTTATGGCTTTTGTAACGACCTAAGCCATTGCTAGTCGATGTTGTCCTCTTTAAGCTTGGCTTCCCCTCAATGCTTTAAAATGCGTAGGTTAGGAGAAGATTTCCACACCCTTATAAATGATATTTTTTTTGTTCTCCCTCCCCAACTAACGTGGGACATCACAGCTTTACTTTGGGAGTTTATAATCAAAGAATACTATCTCCATTAGAGTAAGGCATTTTGGGAAGCCCAAAGCAAAACCATGAGATTCTATGCTCAAAGTTGACAATATCATACCATTGTGGAGACTTGTGTTCGTCCAACATGGTATTAGAGCCATGCTATAAACTTAGTCATGTCAACAGAATTCTCAAATATCGAACAAAGAACTCCAAAAGAAAAAGGAGCGAAGGCTCCTCAAAGGCGTCTAAAAGAGAAAGGAGTCAGGGGAGACATAAGTCAGTCTCGACTAAGGGGAGACGTAGTTTGTTCAAGGGAAGGTGTTGAATGAAAGTCCCACATCGGCTAATTTAGGAAATGATCATAGGTTTATAATCAAATAATAGTATCATGCCGGCCATAAGAGTGATACTGAAAAGAAAATTATAGGAGGGCAGACCAGGAGAGGATTTTAGGGTTTATTGTCTGTGTGGATTGAACAGAGGTGGGCTAGTGATGTGGCCCGGCCCCAAACAGGTTCCTAATATTCAGGGATTGTATTCGAATTTACAATAGGAGGGGAGCCCAATGCGGAATTACTAATTAAATAACCCACGTGTTGTTTTCTTCAACAAAATGACGTGGCATTGGCGGCTCCTAAGACGGCCACCTTCAATTCCCAACCTCAATTATTCATCCTCCCTGTTCCCTCCCCACACTCCAATATACGCTGCTTTTCCCTTTTAAAAAATTCAATTTACATTCGAATTTGTACATTATTATAATTTTAATTCGAAGATAATTTTTAAATAAAATGGAAATTTTAAGGATATTATTTTATCAATATTCCCCAAAGATTCATTTTTATTCAAGAATTTTTAAATAAAGATAAAAATTGAATATTACCCTATTTACCACCCGATTCACCAAAATTGATGTGAAACTTTACAAAATCTAAGCGTCATAATTGAAACCTACCGCTACGAGAAATTTCGTGTCATTTAAACTCTTACTTATATTATCATCTTTCTTTCCAAATTTTGAAAACTTTAGGTTTAAAACTTCAAATTAAGAGGTAGAAATGTACGACCCATGATTCAAGCTTTTAACTATATCATGGTTGGATTAAAAAATGTGTATTTTAAGGAGTTTGGTTATAAAGTTTGGGGGAAAATATGATTAGACGTATGAAATGTAATGTAATGTTTTGGTGGTGGAAAATCAAATAAAGATAATAGATATTAATGAGTTGATTGAATTTTGAGAACAGTGATCTTAGACATGATTGAACTATTAGTGGGGTTTTGATCATTTACAGCACCATTCAATCATGTCTTAACTTGTTTGGTTTCCCAGAAAATAATGAACAGTATCAAACTTAAATTATGACTCAAACTATGAACAACAATATCAAATTTCATACCCAATTTTATGTTAGGGTAAAATCCTTGATCAAACAAACATTTTTGTTTCCCAATAATCCAAGTTTGTTACTGATTAGATTTACATGAAATGCAAACTAAAATTCAAAACAAGAACACCGAAATTTTATTTTATAGGAACAAACCCTTTTAGTCAATTCGAAGATGGATGATGATGAAGATGATGATGATGATGATGATCCATTCGATTCGATCGATCAATGATGATCGGAGTTTGGAGGAGAATACTCGAAAACAACTTCAGCATCCACCTCTCTTCTATGAAAATTCCGGTGGCAGCCACAAGCAGCGCAGCTGAGAGCCTCCTCAGTCCCCTCCTCGCCTCTGGCCATGAACTCACGGCAACCGTCCACCGCGAACCCACCGAGCTTCGCCGCGTGATTCTTCTGGCACTCGGCATAGCGCACGACCGAGCCCGAACCAGACCGGTTTCCTCGCCCCCCAGACCCATCGGATTTCTTCACCACCACCACCCTTTTCTTCATGGCTTTTGAATCCCACGGAGCTCTAAACCCACCAATCTTTGCTGAATTTGGGTATTGATCAAATCCTTACCCAAACCAAAAAAAAAGCCTTCTTTTTTTGAAGCAGCTGCGTAATATAACCCTAACCCTAAGAGAATTATTTATAAAAAGGGTTAGCTTAGTGGGCAGAGAGGCAATCTAATATGGAAAAATTAGATTGACCCTTCACCAAATTAGATTGACACTCCTACACAATAGAACCCTAGTTTTCGTTGTTCTTGACACAATTGGTTTGGTTTGGTTTGGTTTGGTTTACAGAGGTGTTTTATTGATTCAAATAATGCATCATCCACCACTGGTTGAGAGTCAAAGGAAGGAGGGAATGAACATAGAAGAGGCATCATTATGTTCACTTTAATTTCAATAAAAGAGATCAAACTGAGGTGCCTTTTAGGCCTAACATTATAATTAAGCAGTAATAATTAAGAATAGAGAATAGATGTGTAGCCCAAAGATGAGCTGGGGGATGCTATTTTTGAGTAACAAAAGGGGTCCGAATGACGCTCAAAAGCCAGCCTGCAATGCTCCATTATCAACTCCATCACACTACCTAAGATTCCAATAATTAAAACTTCAACCCCTCTTCCTTCCCTTTTGCATCAAATCATCCCAAATAACATTAACATATTTCAACATCAATTAGATATGCCTTTACAACTCCTCCTTAATGATGACGATGGTGACGGCCCAAGCTCATTGCTAGCAAATATTATCCTCTTTCAACTTTCTCTCCAATCGACGTGGGATCTCACAATGACAAAATTGAAACTACCCCGCGTTCTAATATGCCAAAATAATGATGGGTCTTCATCAAAGTTTTAATTTTTCTTTTCTATGTATGGAATTCAAGATGAAATTGCCACCATTTTCATTCAAAACTTGTAAAAAAAAAAAAAAAAATCTAATAAAACCCCAAAGGAAATGGACAAAAAGAGAGAACAGTGAAGAGAAGGTGAGAGTTTGTTTGTGTACTTATAATTTGACATGTTATGCAAGTAAAGGGAGACAAAAACACATGGTTGTCCATTTTATTATGCTTTTTTCTTTTGGTGTTCAACAGATTTGAGCTTGTTCATTCTTCCTTGCCGATGATCACTTGAATCTCTATAACATATTACATAACAATCTCCAAGAATCAAGGACCGTGTTTAAGGTCTTACATGCTTCGGTTTTGAAGGCAATCAATCCACTCTTCCTCCTCATTCATTCATTCATTCATTCATTCATTCATTGCAGAAGAGAAGAGAGATCTTAAGGCTTCAATCTTTGTCATGCATATCATTTTGTTTGTTTCTACCAACTTTCTCCTTCCATTATTCTTTATTCTTCTAAACATAGACTACACCCAATATTATTCTTTGACCAATTTTATTTTGTTCGGGTTTAAGATAGAATTCGATGAACTATGCTCAAATTGGTATTTGTATAACAGCATCTTATGGTTGGTTATAAAAGGAAAAGCCCAATGGGCCCATCAATAAATCCAAATGCCAGCACTTACAACCCTGTCTTCCTTCAGCTACAGCGACCGCTTTTGCTATCCGACAATTTGGGCCTCTCTCCTTGTTGGGCCCATTGTCCCCTCCCCTTTACTCATTACATCTCAATCTCTCTTTTCCTTCTCATCATTGAGAGGACCATACACCCACCCCCATCTTATTTCCTTCCTCATTTTTTGGGCCCATCTCAGCCACACTTGTGTCCCTTTCCCTTTCCCCCACTACTTTACTCTTAACCGAATTCCTCCACTACTACCTTCCACAACCATCCAATATAAAATATATTTGTATTAATATGGTGAAGCAGATAATTGGACCCCGAATATAATCTCATTTCTAACTTCATTTAACAAATAGAAAAAAAAATATATATATATATATTCCTTATTCTCGTCTAAACTGGAAATTTCTACTCCATTCAAGATGGGTCCGTGGAGGTAAAGTAGATATATCCAAGGTCATGCGCGTAAAGTGAAATACAGCCTCTTTTTTTTTTGTTTTTTTTTTTTGGGGAAATGGGAAATGGGAAATGGGAAATGCCCCCATTGGATATTGGATACTTTTAGCACGTCATCTCACACCCTATAGTAGAGAAGAAAGTAGACCTACCTGGCTATGTTCCTGCCACGTGTGCATACCCATATATCCAAATGACCGAATTAACAACTGATTTGATTCTTGCCTGCCCACTTGCTAAAAGTCTCAAGGAATTTTTGTATCCAAGCCCCACGTGGCATTGCCTTCTGACGTGGACTGTAATTCGAGTAGGCATTCTGGACCGGGCCTGAAATTCTGGTAAAACAGTGCAACCATGAACAGGTTTGGCCCATCTTCAGGCCCATGGTAGTAGGCCCAATAAGGGGTGGGGGAATAAAATAAAATAAGAAAATAGATTTAAATTGTAGTTGATTAGTTTAAGATGCGGGGAGAGAAAGTTTTGCGTATCGCACATGCAATTGTCTAGCTTTCCTATTAATTAGTTTCAATTGAAAATTAATTATTGTAATTAAATCACACATTTATTATAAACCTAAATTCACAGCTTGTTTGTTAGCGTGGCAAGGAACATTTCCGGTTGGAATTAATTATTGTAACCAAGTGTATTTTTCTTTCCACTAAATAAATAATTAATTAATTTCTGAGAATTTTTTTAAGGAGGTTTTATGGTATCGAGTCGTCTTTAGAATTGACCTTTTAATCGTCAAAACGTTCAGAACCACAAAGGAAGACATTGAAGTCGTCTTTGAGTTGACGTTTAAGATTAGGTAATTTTCTTACACACCCCCTTCCATAAAAAGAGAGCGCAAGGTAATTATCTTAGAGGAAACCTTTGATATTGGAAGGGAAACAATAAACCAAACACCCTGGGATTATAAGAACTTGGTTGAAGAAATGCTATTATAAGAACTACTATAAAATGCAAACATATCATAGAAGAACTCAACTCCGGAGCTAAAATCTGGTTCCCTCCCAAAACCAACTTTAAATAATAATCGATAAACTTCAGCATCAAGTTCACAGAAACTCAAAATTTCTTCAATTTTCTAAACCACCAACACAACTAATTTAGCTCTTTGATGCAAGCTTTTCCTTCGCCTTCTGGATCTTCAATACCTTCTTCACAATCTTTTGCTCTTCCACCAAAAAGGCACGAATGATCCTATCCCCAGCAAAACAAAGAAAGATTAGGAAAATGAACCAATCAAACGGATGAAATATTGAGTGATGAGAAAAAATGGGATGCAAACCTCTCTCTGACGGCACCGCCGGATAAAACGCCACCATATGCACGATTCACAGTCCTCCTGTTCCTAGCTAGTCTAGACCTCTTATACTCAGCTGGCCTCAAGTGAGGAATCTGCATGATCGCACATTTACTCGGATTAGCTAAGTCAGCCATATAAATTCAGAATTTTTCACCACATTATATACAAAAAACCAAATACCCATCCCTTATTGACCAAATTTTAACTTAGAAGTCTGTCATTAAATCCAAAAAACAACCAGCAACGCACATAGAAGATTCAAACATATGAATAACAAATGTATAGGAATGTATCTACAAATATAAAAAGAATGCATGTAATGAAGCACAAATTTACATGAATGCACCTGCCAATATACATATAATGGATGAAGTAAAGATCGACAGGCTCGAGCGATAGAAAGGACACAAACAATTAGGCAATGAAAATGCAAGGATTTTAAATTTCTAATCGAATGATTATTCACAAGTTTTGCAGAACAAAATTTAGTTGTCGTTGCAATAGGAATATAAAGTAAATGAAAGGATATTTTGCAGGAGCGTCATTAGGATGCAGTTTAAAACAATGAAGCGTAAACCCTTTCTGAATTAAGTTTAAGGCAGTAAAGGGTCCATCCGACAATAAAAGATAAGTATAGAACAGTATTTTGTTTATGAGGTAGATTTTGGACTGTATAGTATATCATTGATCGTTCTCGATGCCAACATATTGATTACTCATGAAACTTCCACTCATTAGAACGATCACGGCGTAAAAAATACCACGAGTCATTAAACTTCCACTCATTAGAACGCAGCCAGAAACGTAGTTAATTTATTTCCAAGGGCGTAAAAAAACTAAATTTGAACTTAGGCAAAAGGCTGGGCTCCTTATAAAATCTAGTAACTGGTGGAGTCTCAGCAGGGAAGATTTTGGTGCCCAACGACCAAGGAACAAGCATTTGTGGGGACTAGCCCACTTCCCATTACTCAAGAGAAAAATTCATTAAGGGAGGAATTGATAGGTGGCTGAAACGCCCAATGATCACAAAGAACCGAAATTTAGACACATGGATAAACTTTCAGTATCGAAAGACCAAAACCTTTATCTAATGCACCACAAATGCGGCACGCGACTAAAAAAGGCTATCTGCGTCAGTTCTTATTTCCTCTTTCCTTATCTACTAAATAAGTCTCGTAGGGATTTACAGCAAAGATCTAGTCTACAAGGTGATAACATGGCCATCATGAAACAGCCAGCAACAATCAAAATATCGAGAAAATCAAAATGGAGAATGAACGAGTACATCAATAAGATACGTTATTTGTGAAATAACTACGAATAAGGGATAAAAATGGACAGAGAACATTGATCGAAGACATACTCCCTGAATCCTTTTGCCGGTGACCGGGCATTTCGGTCCACTAGCTCTTTTCTTGGTGGTCTGGTACACAAGCTTCCCGCCTTCAAACAGAAGAATACAAGATGATAAGAGCAGGAACAATAAATGCGCAACAATACAGAGACGTAGAATGGAGTCGTATCAGAAAGTTACCTGGGGTTTTGACGACACGGTGCTGGTTAGACTTGGTAGCATAGCTATGGCGCTTGCGGTATGTAAGACGCTGAACCATCTTGTACGATTTTCCTCTCTTCCTCCCTCTGGGTGTCCTGTCCTGGTAAAGGAGGCTGCTGCAGAGATTTTACTGAACTTGGGAGAAGGAGATAAAAACACCAAGACGACCCCCGATGCCCTAGATCTAACGGCTCGTACGTGTTCTCGTCGACGATTAAGATTTAATCCCGTCCATTAAAAAATCAATTTTCTTTTTCTTTTTCAATTGGTTCGTATCTATTGGGCTGGGCCGTAGATTGGCCCACTATCCCAATGAATTCGCTCGGGTTAACTACCCGTTCCGGTGTGAACGTCGAAAATCCAACGATTGGAAATATATTATTAATTCCAGATATTTGTTATTATTTTTGGAAAGTGAGATTTTTATTTTTTATTTTTTTCTTTTAATATTAAAAAAAATGTATACATTCTAACTTTTGACCTCAACGGCACAGTTAACAAAAACTATCAACAACATGAGTATAGCTCAACAAATATAAAACAGATATTGTTGTGAAGCCACAAATTTAGTAGTTTAATATTAAGGATCGTTCGAATTCTACTTTAGTTGATCAGAGGGAAGATGAGAGGATATAGTTAAAAACACTCTTCTTATTGGCGTGAAACTCTTTAGAAAGCAAAAAGTAAAGTCGTGAAAACTGATGTCCAAAGTGGACAGTATCGTACCATTGCTAGGTGAGTTGGTTTGTTGCTCCTGTGAATTAGCACTCAATGAAATCAAATGAGTAGTTTTTCCTTCCTACCTTGTTTTTTTTGTATAGCAGAAGAGAGTTTTAAAATCAGGAAGGGAAGTCTGAAAAGAATACAATATAACATGTTATTGTTGTGGGGGTGAGGGAAGTAGGTGATGAAACATATGCGAGTAGAGATGACGTTAAGTTGGATGTGCAGGCAGGCCCCTAAAGGCAACAAGGCCTGTAATAAAGCAGGTAGCTACTAGCAGTGGGCAGGTTTGGAGGTTTGGAGGTTTGGAGGTTTGGAGGTTTGGAGGGTTGGAGTTAGGGGAGGGGCAGGGATGGCATGCGAGGAGGGCCCTCAGTATATCCAACATCGCTCCAAATAAAACTAAGCTCAATCAATCAAATGACGCAGACACAAAACTCGTATTTTGATATATTCCTTCCTCTTTACACCCACGCCACGCCACGCCACGCCACGCACGCCCCATCCTTCTTCACTTCACTACTCACAAGCATCCATGGCGTATACTGCTTACTTAATTAACTAATCTAATCAACTCTGTTCACCCTCCTTTGAGTTTGTGTTTGAGTTGATTGATTGATGGATTGATTGATTAAGGGCAAACGTGTGGTTTATTTGTGGTGTGTTCTTTTTGGGATTCACGTTCCACTACTCCATCTCCTCACCAATTCCCATTCTCTTTCAAACCCAAACACCAAAAAAAAAGCTGCCTTTGTGTCATTCCTTTATCTTACTCAAAAACAACAAGGATATGGGCTACAAAACTCAGCTTTCTTTCTTTCTTTTCCTCTTCACTCTCAAACCAAAATCTCTTTCAACACAACACCCACCAAATTTGTATATCACTTCAATCAAAACTGCAATCCCAGATAAGATAGTGAGAATCTAGGTTCCCTCAACAACAAATCTTACTCACCAACCCATAAACCGATTATCAAACTAATCATTCTAGATAACAAAACATTCATTTTCCTTAAAAAGGTGTAAAAACCGTGAAGCTAACAACAGTACATAATGGGCCAAAACAGACAATATCTCCTAGATGAATTTGGGTTGTTATGAATAGTATCAGAGTTACGAGGACGCTAAGCCCTAAGGGAATAGATTGTGAGATCCCACGTCAGTTGAAGAGGAGTAAGGATGTGCAAATCTCAACACAGTAGACACGTTTTAAAATCGTGAGGTTGATGACGATACGAAATAGGTCAAAGCGAACAATATCTACTAGCGGTAGGCTTAGACGATTACAACCTGCTTAATCAAGGTTTGTGGGGGGTTGAGGTTGAGGGGAATGAAGGTGTGGTTTGGTTGGACGTTTGGTTTTGGGGTTATAAAAATCCAAACTTGAAAGAGATAGATTAGATGTTGTTAAATTGTTGGATCCTGCTTACTTGGAGGGATGCGATTGGTTGACTCAACAATGCCTTGTTTGGATAAGATTTTTTATTTTGTCTGCTCCAACTTGCACGACATGCAAAAATAAATAAACAAATAAATAAATAAAAAAAAGAAAAAGGAGGGACACTGACTTTTCCCCATTGGTAACAGTGAAAGCTACATCTCAGAATTCCAACTACTTTATCTTCTACCTCACAAAAAATAAACTTATTTTTATTCCAAATAATAATTATCCAAATTAAAATTAATTTTTTCCTCCTCATTTACTTATTTATTATTATATCCATGAAATTAAAGTTAAAAAATAAACATAATTAAGTTGGAGATATTTGATGTTTACGTAGAAAAATAATGTGTTGTCATGTCAAGCTCAAGACACTAAATTCTGTGTTTGGAGGCAAAGATTCCAACTGTCTCAAATAATAACATGTTGTTGTGGTTGTAACAGTCCACATCCCACCCAGCAATGCAATGCCATTGGAATCAACTGCAAATACAGCTATCATTTTGTTTCCCTTTTCTTCCATTATATTTATCCACACCCAAAAATTCCATATTTTCTTTTTAGCCCTCGGGTTCGTTTTATTTGACCGTCGTTTCAAATCTAAATTTGTAAACTTTTTATCCTAATGAATTTGATTCGAGCTGTCGAGATATATGTAGATAGATAGATAAAATAGGAAAGTCATTCCATTAATGAGTTCCGTCACGGGATTTGTTAGATGGTATCTATCTTGTGTCGAAAACGACATTGGACCGTCTTTAAAGCAATGGCAGTGGCATGTGAGTGTGCAATGAGATGATGGGGATGAGTCTGTTGAGAGAATTCATAAGCATGCAAAGTTGAATGAAGCTTAGTTAAAATGTGTTGTAAGTGGAGGGTAAAAAAGGTAGATTGGGTAAGGGGAGGATGAAACAATGGGAGTTATTGGACTGGTTGAGCTGGTTTGAGTTGACCTGGACATGCTGCTGCTGCTGCTGTTGGTGCTGCTAAGTGGCATCAGAAGCAAAGTTTTGAAGCATAGTGTTGTTGGTTTGATGTCAGAAAAGGGTTTAGAGTGAGGCCAGAAATCGTGGGGTTTGGCCCCATCTCTCCTCTATTGCCTTACTTTTACTGCCCCCATTCACTATTAAAGCTGCAACCTCAAAAAAAACCAAAAACTCCACATTTCTTAACCTTAACAACACATCTTTCATACTTTTCTGCAAACTAAACTCTTCACAAATTCTTCTTTTCGACCTTAAAGTATATATTCCTTTAACAAAAAAAAAACAACCCATTTAGATTTAGATACTCAGACCTTTGAGTGAGTGTGTGCGCGCTCTCAATAACAAAAACCGTGAGGCCGACGGCCATACGTAATGGGCCAAAATGGTGAGCTTGAGCTCTTACAAATGGTATCAGAGTCAGACATCGAGCGGTGTGTCAGTGAGGACACTAGGCTCCAAGGGAGTGAATTGTGAGATCCCATATTGGTTGGAGAGAGGGAACGAAGCATTTCTTATAAGAATATTGAAACTTCTCCCTAACATACGCGTGTTAAAACTATGAGACTGATGACGATACATAAAGAGGTAAAACAGACAATATCTACTAGTGATGAGCTTGAGCTGTTACAAATAGTATAAGAGCTAGACATGAAGTGGCGTGACAGTGAGGACACAAGCCCCCAGGGAGTGAATTGTGAGATCCCACGTTGGTTGGAGAGAGGGACCAAAGCATTTCTTATAAGAATATTGAAACCTCTCCCTAATATACGCATGTTAAAACGATGTAGATGACGACGATAAGTAACCAGGGAATGACTTGAATGAGAAAAAGAGAGAGGTTTTACTTTAGTTTGAAGTAGAGAGTGAAAAAAAGTAGGAGATATTGAAAGAAGGAGAGATGAAAGGATGATATATATATATATATATATATATATATAGAGAGAGAGAGAGAGAGAGAGAGAGAGAGAGAGAGAAACAGAAATGAATGATTGTGGCAATGACTAGAAACAGGAAAATATGAAAATGGAGAGTTGAAGAAGAAGGCAAAGGTTGATGGGTTTGAAGCAATTAACTTAAACAACAGAAGATTTGAAGAGTGATAGTGGTTTGGTTATGCAATGGGGGCAGTGGATGATTGAGTACTACAAACTGGGTTGATAATCACTAAGATCTTAGCCAAATTAGAGGGTAAGCTGTCTCCTTCAATGCCATACATAAGTGGCAAGCGCATGTGGTCTCAGAAAGGGCAGCATTCTCTCATTTCTGGTCCACATTTCTTCCCCTAATAGGCCCCATTTCCTCTTTCTTTCTTTCTTTTTTTTTTTTTTTTTTTTTTTTTTTTTTTTGAGTGTATTTAAAATGAAAATTATTTCACAGTACACTGCCACCCATTAGATGCAGTCACATGCTTGAATAGACTCCATGTTTTTATCAGACCAGACCACCCCTAATAAAGCCCTAAAAGAAAACCAAATTCAAATCCATCAAACCCTTCTGAGACCTATATATTTATTACCATTCATAATTGAAAAGGCACAAACTACACACACAGCTAAGTGGGTGATTCTGATTTGGAGTGTGAAAGAGAGCCATGTTGTGGCGCCCATTCAAGGTCCTTAAATGTTGGCAATTCAGTAACATGTAAACTAGATCATTTATTTGGTGCATACCCCAAGTGTTTTTACCATTTTTTTTTTTTTTTTTTTTAAAAAAAGTACTGTTTCCTTCTCTCTGCAAATTGGATTGTATTTATCATTTTTACTATGCAAGAGATGAGATACACTTTTGCTCCTTTCTTTTGGGGAAATTAAAAAAATATAAATAAAAATAAAAGAGGATGGTGGAGACCAAAAAGGACTTTATGTTGTTCATTGCCATTCATTGCTGCTAGATCATCCAAATACTTTCACTTTAAAAATCAATAGAAAAAGCAAATCCTGGTGGGTTAAAACAAATCAAGCCACAATTACTTGTAATTTAGCTCTATATTAC